CCATATCTTGTTAAATCTGAGGCATTTGTTTTTTAAGTGGAATGGAGAGTTAGGTCAGTTTACCAAATGCTATATCAATTTCTTTTAAATACATTTTTTTGATGCAAGGACACTCTTGAGAAAACAGCCTTTTTTGTAACCTATCTCTAGACCTATTTTTCAAGTTCTCTAGTAGGTAGACTGTTTTGCTCTCCTCCCCATACTGAAGCTTAGCATACCATATAGTTGAACTCAATCTTCTCTGTCCTTTAGTGGAAGTAAGACCTATTTCCATAAGGTGGTATATGGGTAAAATGCTTTGTATTTGAGATGATGTTTCATGCCCAGAAATTTAGTGGATGTTCTCTCAACTGAATTACTACTGGAGCTTTCTAATGTAGTTATCTGTTCATCTGTAATAATTATTATATATTACAGTAGGAATACCTGCAAACATGATGGTGAGGAAGGTACCCTACAAGTTAAATGTTTTTTTGTGGACATGTGCATTTTAGGGGCTTGTGGGTCAACAGTTTATCAGATTCCTAGAAGTCCTTGTTACAGATAGTGTTAAGAACCAGTGTTCTGAATGCTATATATAGTTTTATATTACAAAGTCTGAAAACCTGCAAAACAGTGCTATGTATTCTTAAGAGATGCATTCTTAGTAGTGTACGAAAATGTGGAGAAGTGACAGGAACCAAATTTGGGATACTGTTACCTCTTGGGGGAAAGAAAACAATCTGGGGAGTACATGAGAGATCTTCAGTAATATCTGGAGCATTTCTTAAATTTGAAGGAAGTACAGTAAAAATGTTAAGCTTTACTTAACTACCAAGCTGGATACACAGATACATGGGTAGTTTTAGGCTATGACTTGTAAGAATCACTTCTGGTGTGCTGTTCTAGTAGGTACGTTGAAAAACCAAAACCTTTGTCTTTTGCTTAAAAACTGTCAGTGACTTCCCATTCCCTCTGGGATCCTCTTGGACGTGATATTCAAGGTTCTGAAAATGATCCAGCCCTGATTAACTTTTTCTGGCCACAACTGCTACTCCCATACTGTACCTTCTTGTGTCTTTGGTATACCAAACTACAAGCAAATTTTCACACCCCTGACTTTGAATGAGTTTTTTTACTGAGAATGCTTATCTTTCCTATCAGAACACAGCTCAAATGTCACTGTTTTAGAGGCAAGGTTAGTGGTAGCTTTTCAGGATTCATGCTGCAATTGAATGCCTTTATTTTAAGCACTTAGGTTGTAGAAATGTTTTTTTTTGTTTTGTTTTGTTTTTGCATTGTGCCTGCTTTTTATTAGCTCATTATGTTGGGGCAAGTATTCGTCTGGTTTTGTTTTTGTTTTGTTTTCAGGCCTAACATGCTTGACACCAAAAAGGTAGTGTCATATAAATGAATAAATGTTTTGATGGTGAAGCTTTAGCTAATATTACACTTAAAATTTTAGAAATGGACTTAAATTAACATCTGGTTTTTGCGAATAGATTGAAAGTTAACTCTTTACTAGACAGGCAGCAGTAGCTCTGGGAGTCAGAGCAAGTTATAATCTCAGGACCGGAAATTACCTATTTATATCTCAAACCAGTGTTTTGCTTTCTCAGTCACCCAGTGTGTGTGTGTGTGTGTGTGTGTGTGTGTGTGTGTGTTTTAAAACTAAAATTCAAGGCACAAGCCTGCCAACAGCTCTGGGTCACATCCTTATAGGTCCTAATTAGAGAAGGAAGAAGTGTCCTTTTCTAGTTTTAAGTTGAAGAATTGGGCAGGTATAATGGACAGGCTGATAAAATCAAGTCTTGGCTTTGGTTACTTTACAAATCTTTGAGCTAATTACTGAGGCTGAAGGGAAAAATTTTGTGATTAGCCCTGAATAAATTGGTTTCTGACGGCTGACATCACATTTTATTTCCTTGTGCTATGGGCATAATAATAATATGACAGTTGTTTGTTATCTTAGAATGCTGACTGATAATATGATTTAAGAAACCTGTTTTGATCCTTAAATAACTTTACATAGGTCATTTTTCAATGTTGAATTTAAAGTAGATTTTAGTACATAAATTAACAGGCCTGATTTTTCTTTAAATCTTTTAATACTTCAGGGATGGCTTGGTTGTGCAAAATAAGGCATTTAGAAATTATCTGAGTGATGAGAGCCTGCAGTAATAGGAGTAAAATGTTGAAATTCAGTACTTAAGTAACTGAAATTACACCTTAACTCTAAAAGAGTGATACTGTCAACATATAAAGGCTTATAAATATCAGTGTGCAGAAAAACTTATTTTCTTAATGTTCTTCATAGTTAAAATGTGTAACTTTCAGGGAGGATATTGATGTATTCTAGGTCAGCTTGCATATTACTGAGCTTTCATTTATAATAAAGTTGTGTTTACATCACTGTAAGGTATTTCGTTATACCAGCCATCATTAAATTGGTTTTTATATAAAATTAATTGCCGGGTATTTTCTTCAGGCATTTTTAGTAAATCCATTTATTCAGAACATAATGTATTCAGTACATAATTTGGGGTAGATCAGTGTAAGAAACTCATTTTGGTAATAACTGAATTCAAGTTCTTACTGGACATTTTTAAGTTGAACCACATGAAATTGCAGTTTTTGTAGTTCAAATATGGCCAAATATTAGTAATTTTGTACAACTCAAGCTAATAACAAGATTTCTGTAAAACCCCATCAACAGATATTCCTTGAATTGCTGACCTTGTGTTATTAATGTATAACATCTCATGGCAGTGTAATTGCTAGAGGACTGCATCACAGACAGCTAAGCATAAAGATCATCATGTAGGTGAAAAATCTGTATGGTCTAAGGCTGTAATATGTAGCCTATTTATGAATCAGTTTTGCTTTTTAATAAATGATTTGAGTGTCTACCTAGAAAATTTTGCTTTAGGGATGGGTGGTATGATTGTGTAGTACCTAAGTACATCATGTGCCAGGTTTTATGCCAAAGAGCTTTAACTGTCATTTTTCTCAGAACTCCTGTGCAAATAGACATTTGTACAGATGGTGAGGTAATAGGAAATAGATGATGAGATAATGGGAAATACTGGGTCTAAGTTGGATTAAAAGTCAGGTTTCAGAGTGATACAATATTCAAGGAATCTCAAGTGTCCTTATTTCAGGATGATACAATTGGGCATTTGAATTATATATGTAAGTTGGTGTTTGGCTTTCAGTGGCATTCTTGAAAATTCACATCTTTATTTTTTGTGAGAAAGAGGTATAGTTTTGTATCAGGTAAGTTTTTAACCTTGAAGTAAACTTTTTACATTCCTTAAGGGAATGTAAAGAGGAAATTAGGCTGCATAAACTAGCTTCTGGTTACTCTCTTTTTCAGTAGGCTAGTTACTCAGTAGAACTTGCTGTATACATTTTGGAGCATAGGAAAATTTGGTGGTCATGTAAGACTGTGGGATGGTGTTAAAGTAGATTGCCGTTATAAAGAAGTGGCTAATCATGGAATGCAAATAATCATTGTATAAGACTTGATCTAGCCTGTGAAATAGTAGTTTGCTCAGTAATGGATAGTTGATTTAAATCAAGTTGCAAGTACTTTTTTTGCTCACGTTTCAGAATCAATTGATATGTTGTAAGGTTTTTATTTTAAACATACAGGATTTCTTTTAATGCACTATTTAACTCTGGGATAAGAGTTCTTGTAATTCCTACTGATCAGAATCAGATGTGTTTGGCATAAATTTTCTCCTATTCTTAACTTTGTTAAATGTAAGAGGGTATATTTATGTAGTAAGCATATAGGTCTGATTTGATCTTACATCAATCATCGTCACATTTTGAGTCCTGGGATCTCTGGCTGTCTTGATAACCTTTATAAGTAGTTGTGGTATGAGTTTCAGAGGCAAATTGGCAGAGTGTATCAGAACAATTTTTTTCCAGTTTTCTTGAAATACTGTTGGCATATAACATTAGTTTTTGATGTAAACATACTTATTTGGTCTGTGTGTATCAGAAATGATTACCACAAGAATGGTTCTTCACTGATTGTTGTTTTTGTTTTTTGTGTGTGGGTTTTTTTTTGTTTTTTTTTTTTGTTTTTTTTTTAATTTTAATGGAATGAGTCCAGGCTGATCACTCCAGAACAACTGGCCATTTTCTGAAGTGCAATTTGATCATATGATAAAGGCAAAAAAGATGCTGTAGTTCTTTTCCTGCAATGTTGTATAGTCCCTGAATGTTCTTAGAAGCCCATTATATCTCGTGGGTTTATAAACTTCTGTAGAAATTTATATGTAGACATGTAGCTATGTTGTCTTAAATGTATTTCTAAAAACCTGGTAAAGAAACAACTTTATTTTCTTACTAGATAAGGTCATGGAAGGGCTAAGTACATCTTTTTTTTGTAAATATAAGGTCAGATGGCATTGTGGAAATTGTATGGTAGTTGCTAAAGAGAAGAATTCTACCTAAAGAGTACTTCTAGAGATGTGATTTTACTCAGTATTAAGTAAAAGACAAGGTTGAGCCGAGGCAATAAGATCCAGCTAAAAAGGGTACCTATCTAGCCCCCTGAGAAATTTTTCAAGTGGAAAATGAGGTCCATGGTTAGTTTGATTCAGAAAGAAGAGAGGATTTAAAACAGTAAAAATGAGGGCTTCTCAGATGGTCTGCAAGTTGAGCAAATGATACAGATATTGAGAACTGTCTTTTGTACGTTTTTAAGCTATGAAAGTATTACAATGTTTTTTTTTTTTTTAAATTTATAAGAGGACAGCTGTTTGTTCATGTAGAGAAATTCTCATATTGATGTGTATATATACTTTTGTGAACCCTAGCCAAGGTGATTGTCTTGGGTAAATAACTATACCTACCATGTCCCAGGATCTGGGTTAGTTTTACTGAAATGTTTTCTTCTAGTAGAGTATGTTATTTATGTGAATAGTGACTGTGTGTCCTTAAGAGAATGAGACGAAAATGAACTGGAAGCAGACTGTCTTTACTTACTGTTTTCTTCCTTGGTATAGGAACTTAGTGATTTGGCCCGTGACCCTCCAGCACAATGTTCTGCAGGTCCAGTTGGGGATGATAGTAAGTAACTTTCAAGTTGATTTTTATGGCTAATTTCATAAAAGCTTGTATATTTTTAGATAATAATAAGAGTTTTTGTTTTGTTTTTTTTTTAGTGTTTCATTGGCAAGCCACAATTATGGGACCTGTAAGTATTAAGAATTTAAAATTTTTTGCTTTCAATCAAAAATTTAGCAACTTATCTAGTTGCTATTTTTAATGTAGTCTTTAGGTTTCTTTTATTACATCATAATTCTGTATATGCCATAGAATTGTTCATTTGTTATACATAATTGTATGTGTTTGTCCCTGTTTTCTAGAGTATAGTATCTCTTATCATATATCTCTTCATATCAATCTACTTTTCTTTCATAGCAATATAAAGCATTGTCACAGAGCTTCATATTATTTATGGAGCCATTTAATTTACTGGCTCTACTATGATATTATTCAAAGATCCTACTCTTTTGGGGTAATTGCCCCAAATCTAGCTTTAATTGAGTTACTTTGATATTTGACTTTTTTTATCTGGAACTTTTTAGTTTTATACAAAATTTGAGTATCTTTAGGTAGAAAGTGATATTTTGAATACAGCAAAATTCCTTTCTATCCTGGGTAGATAAGAAACTGTATATGCTGGATAATTGAATATTCAGAATAATGGATACCATCTAAGAATTTCACAGAATTAGAACGCAGTAAAACATCCTGGGGTAAGACTGTATCTTGCACAATACTTAACTCTTTTTTTTTTTTTTTTTTTTTGACTTAGAAGGCACTTTCAGATTTCTATGCTAAGTTATATGAGTGTCTTACTCAATGTTCTGCTTTCTTCCTTTTTTAATGGTTTAATCTCAACATAAATGGCAATGATGTATTAGGGTGAGATAATGGTCATTAAGTACAGGTTCTAAAAGGAGAAATACCCTTGGAAAAGTTGGATCAGCAATTGTTTGTTCAGCAGTTCTGATTTTGACATTTTTAATCCTTTTTTCTATCTCAACTAATGTGATCCCTGCTTTGTGCAGCCATGAAGGATACTGATGAACATAATAGACAAATCCCTTTCAATCTTTAGGCAACTTAAAATCTACTGGGAGGCAGGCAATTAAAATATGGGAACTAAGTAATATGTATAAAATGCTTAGTAGAAGAAATTTATGGGAAACAAGCAGAGATTTAGAATGATTATGAAATGTTATGACCTAGAGGTAGGAAGATTATGAAACATTAAATCAAATTTAGAGGAGAAGGTGGTATATTTAATTTAATACTGTGAAGTATATGTAGATTCCAATAAAAGCTACAAAGTCAGGATTATTCATTTTCAGTCTCAAGGACTTAATTTGCTTTTAAAGTGCTGCTTTTTCTAATTGGTAACAGATTATTTTTAATAACATTACTTAACTAGTGGCTTTACCCACTTTGTTCCATGAAGTGTTACAAAATTTGGCAATGTTTTTATTTAAAAAAAAATAAAAACAAATCTCCGACTAGGCCCTCTCATCCTCACAAGCAATAGTAGCTTGAGATAGAGTAGCAGCCGCTTCCCTTTTTTAAATGGAGTTTGTCTGTCATAGTTTCTACCGGATCTCCATGTTGCCTACCCAAGTTACGTCTTCTGTAAGCACTTAAAATTGCATCTTCTAGAATTTTTCCATTATAGATCACTAATTTTCAAAGCAAAGAATTCAAGAAAATGCCGTATTATATCTGTACAAATAAAGCTCATTTTTTTATCTTGTGGGTGCATTAACATAGTCTCATTATAAAATTAGTTGTCAGTACTAATACAAAAAAGAGTTGGTAGTCAATTCCAGCTGGATGGTGTGCATAACAAACCAACTCTTAATCTTAAAACCAGTGTGAAGTTTTTCTGCTTGACTTTTGAGGTTTCACTTTACTGAACTGTTGTTAATGTGTATGCCTACGTGAAGCATAAATGAGTAGTTTATGCTAGTAATTTTCCAGAGAATAGAAGATACAAAATTGCTTATCCTGACAATTTTTTTTACTTGTTTACTTAATTTGCTTTTATTTTTCAAAATGTTTTTTAATTTTATATACCTTTCAGATTATGGCTTTTAATATGTTTTAGTGACAAACAGTTTTCTCTTAAAAAGAAAAACATTAATTTTTAGAACTATTTAAATATTTCCTGATTAACAGAAACAAGAAATATATTTATACCACAACTGCAGTTTTGCTTTGGCTGCATTATTCCCTGAAATGTACTTACATTCTAGAGAGGCTAATTCTCACTGTATAGTTTCAAGGAGGATTCAAAGGTTATAAAACCTCATACAAAATACCAATCTTGGGCTCTTCATAGTAAGCATCTAAATTCAGATGCTGACTCGTAAATAGTTAATGATTACTCTTACTATGTAGTCAGTGAAACATCTTGTGTTATTATTTTGGCTTTTAATTGCACCTTTGTGTCAAAACATCATAGTTTTATTAGGTAAATGTACTTTATTTTGTTAGTATTCTACCCTATGTGGGATGCAGATGTGACCCAAAACAACAGAACCAGTGGGGTAATAACCAGTAATTGTGGATTTGCTGGAAGAATAAATGATAGCAAAATTGTTTTTGCTTTGGAGTAGTATGTCTTCAGACCAGTGAGAGTGATGACTGCCACAAAACTAAAGATTCCTGACTTTCTAAGGAATAGAGCATCTAATTTAAGTTCTAATAAGAAAAACTATGGAATTTTAGTGAATTATATAGTCAGGAAATGCTCTTGGTTATTAAAAGTTAGGCAAAAATGCTTGGTTCTAACAACTATATGCTGCCTTATTCTTTTTAAAGGTAAGATACTTTGGAAGCACAAATATTCATAAAAACTAAACCTTTGAAATAATTGGGAACATTGCTAATTATGTGGTCTTTAAACTTTGGTTGCCTTTTCAGTACTATATTAAGGGCAATTTCTACTAAGAATTGATGCATTGAAGAGAAATTCCTTACCTATTCTTAATAGTTACATGCTTGATTTTCCTTTAATAACTGGAAATGAAGCTGGCAGAAAGAAATATTTTGAAATTATTTGGAGAACCACGCTGACTTCTAATCTATGATATAGTCATAGAAGAAATTACAGGCATACTTCAGAGATACTGTGGGTTCAGTTCCACAGCACCTCAGTAATGCTGGTGTCACAAAGTGAGTTGTATTCTTTCTGCTGGTAAGAGGTCTTGGCTTCAATTAGGTTTTTGTTGTTGTTGTTTACGTGTAGTAAAATGGGGTATGCCTATACCATAACTGAATAATGTAACCTTTGACAGCCTGAGCAGAATCAGCTTTAAAAAAAAAAAACCCATCTGAAATTTTAAAAATTGGTTTGTTGGTATTTTATTGCTCCATAAGCTTTATTTCTTCCATCTACGTTAAGTGTATTATGTTATTTCCTACAAAGTGTAATGATACATAAAAACTCTTCTCCTTCAGTACTTTACTATTTAAGAAGCTTTGTATAGTCTAGTGGAAGAGGGGAAAGTAAAAAAGTAAGAAAAGATACGTGTGTTAAAATGTACGTACAGAGGTGTAAGAGAAGGGTAGCCAGAAGATTAGACTAAAGGGAAGGCTATATTTATGTATGGTCTGGCAGATAAAGAATATTTCAACAAGTGGAAAATATGAAATAATTATTTTATGTGAAGCAATGAGAGAATAGTTTGGTGGAAAATAAAACTAACTGGATTGGTGGGAACCAGATCATAAAACATTCAGAGTGCTTAGGAGTTTGAATTTTATCTTAAAAGCTATGCTAGATTTCAAGCAGGGGAGTAACTTGTGTGTTAAAGATGATCACTTAAGCAATAGGGTGTGGGACAAATTAGAGGGAAAAGCCAGAGTAAAGGCAGGAATACCAGTAGCAAGTCATTGCCATAATGGTAGACAAATGGTAGAGTAGTCCTTCGTTTTCCATGGGAGGATATCTTCGAAGACAAACCCCCCAGTGGATGACTGGAGTCATGGATAGTGCCAGACCATTATATATATATGTATATGTATATGTATATGTATATACACATGCGTATATTAAAATGTACGTACAGAGGTGTAAGAGAAGGGTAGCCATAAAATATACACATGTACACACTATGGGTTTTTTCCTACACATAAATATCTATGATAAAGTTTAATTTATAACATAGGTACAGTAAGATTAGAACAATAACAAAATAGAGCAATTATAACAGTATATTATTAAAAAGTTATTTGAATTGTGGGCTTTCTTAAAATATCTTACTGTACTGTGTACCTTTTCATGTAAAAGTGAGTGCTTTTTTGGCTTTTCTTTGGCCCACCCAAATTTCAGCATCAGTACTTTTGCTTCTTGGGGTCATTACTAAGTTAAAGAAGGCTTACTTGAATACAAATCCTGCGATACTATGATCTGGTACGTACCAACAGACTAATGGACTTGGAACGTATACAGTCTAGGTATGCTGGACAGAGGGATGAGTCATGTTTGGGGTGGGATCGAGTGGGGCAGCACACTAAGAATGGCATGTAATTTTAAACTCATGAAATTGGTTATGTTTTGAATTTTCTATTTAATATTTTCTGACTGTGGGTAACACTGCAGAACTGAAATCACAAGGGAGGAACTATGGTAGTTAATATCTCGAGCTAAGTAACAGTAGCAGTGGGTATAAAGGGGAGAGTAGGATAGATAAATTCAAGAGATTTTAAGGCTCCTTAAGATTCAGGAAACTACTTTGAAGAGATAAGAAACTCAATGATGAGATCCTGGTTTCTGGCCTTAGGATTGTGATTGGAGTTTTAGACACATGAGATATCCAAGTAGAAATACTTGTAGGCGTTTGAATATGTGTCCTGCAATAAATAGCTACATTAGAAAAAGACTCAAGAGTTACCAAAAATAAGTATGGGTCAGGAGATTTAAAAAAATGATGAATCTGTGGATATTAACATTGTAAGGGTTGCCATAGTACAAGATTACTAACACTGAGAAGGAGCAGCATGGATGGAGCAAAACTAGGGTACAAGGTCTTGAAAGAAGAGATCCAATAATAAGCTTTGGATTTCTAAGATTTCAGTCAGTTTACCAAGAAAAGTATTCTTCTTTGTTTTTCTTCGTTGTATTTTCTGTTTGCTGAAAATTTATGGTAAATTTGATGTACAGCTTTAAATTTTTAGGTGGCATAGTTTAATTACCTCTGCATCTTGTGGTTTTACCAGTTATTCCTTTATGCTTTTGTGGAATTTTAGTGTTAAAATGTAACCTTGAAATATTTTCATTTTACAAATTTTTTTTGAATTGAAATGAAATGAATTTTGGCTTTGTCTAAATCTCATTAGATAACTTTTATTCAGAAGCAGTCAGATAAAGTACTTGACTGTATGAAACTTGGAATGAAAGCTTAAACAACTTTTGGACTTGGGTTTTATTAAAAAATTAGGATTTAAAAAAATTGTTACCTGTATGCAATAGAGACACATTTTCAGTATTAACTTATGTTTATAAAAGTGTTATTTGAAGCATTTATTCCTAGTTAATATAGGCATATTAACAAAGATATGTTAATCTAATAAATTCATTTTAGTTTCTAATGTTTTACATTGATTTTTTATTCTATAATTCTCAGATACGGCTTTGCAGTCTTAGGGTTTATTGTTTTGTTTTTGTTTTTTGTAAATAATACAAAAAGGAGGGAGTTTGGTGTAGGCAGGACTAACTTCAAATTATAGTTTTTTTTATTTCCTAATTGTATGTTTCTTTGAATGATTCTTCATCAGTAACTTGACCTTCTTTAAGTAGGTATAGCCTGTTCATTTTTCATATCTAACATTTCATTTCATGTCTCTATACCAGACTCAGCCTATCAATATTAAGGAATTTTTGTGTCCCTTATATATAGAAGAGAGATTAATTTGAGTAGTATTTTAACTATTTTACAGAGTTCTTGGGGTTGAGGTACATTAAAGTGTCAGAACTGTAAAAGTTTTTACTTATCCTAACACCCAGAAAGTGGCATACTAAAAAGGTACTTTTAGTGCTGTATGCATTCTCTAGTGGAGTGGGGTGGATGTTGGTAATAATTCAGTCACTCTACATTTTTACATCTTTGCCTGTCCAGGGGTAATAAAACAATTTCATATTTTCTTTTACCTTAAAATCATTGATTAGGTCACTAACTTCTGTCATCACTATTTACTTGGTGTTGATTAGCGGTTTTCATAAGATCTGGGTGTGAATCTTGGTTCTGTGCTACATCATTTGTACACCTGACTAAATTACTTGAGTAAGCCCCATTTTATTCATCTATAGAACAGGGACAGTGTTGCCTTTTTCTTGGTATTGGTTAAATTACAGTTCTAGCAAGTAGTTTCACTCAAATGTTGCTTTATACTGAAATTGTATGTAGTATTTATTTGCCAAGGGAGTTTTTCATAATCAAGTTACAATAAGCAAAACAGCAGAGGAGAAAGAATACTGCTGTACTGTGAAATTTTGTTTTCTGTTAAAATGGAAACATGAACATTTCACATTGTTTTCCAAATCTTGTAATCCTGTGTATTGATTTGCTGTGGAGAATTCAGTATACTTTTGAAGAAAAAATTTCCATGGTTTCAAATGAGGAGTTTGAGGGCCATTTGAGAATTAAACTATTTAAAAAGCAGTTTGTTTCTGTTCTGCTTTTATTGAAGGTAGTTGTGTGTTACCTACGATAGCCAATATTTTGGTTTGCCAGTGGCCAGAATAGTACAAAGCCATCTATGAATATTTGACTATCATTCTACAAATGTAAGAATTTATTTTCAAATTATAGTTTGTTAAAATACATTATTATGTAAACTTTATTGCTTAGTGTACTTTTCCTTTGTGAGAATAAAGACCTAGAATACTTGCATTCTGCATAATTTTTAAAATACCTTTGGTGATTTATGTAAAATAGGATCTAAGTAAATTGGGGTTCATTGTTCTATAGTAAACTGTGATTGTTTTTCCATTAATGTGAACTGAATTTTAGATAATTTAGCCTTTTATCGCTGTGAAAATAGGTGATTTGTGTGAGAGATGCTTAGAAAATGGAATTGTTATATATCAATTATTTAGCAATAATATTTTAAATATCAGTTAAGTATATTTTTCTTTTCACAGAACGACAGCCCATATCAAGGCGGTGTATTCTTTTTGACAATTCATTTTCCTACAGACTACCCCTTCAAACCACCTAAGGTAAATTTTTCCCCCCAAGTCCGTTAGTATAGATTTAGGCTTTATTTCGGAGTAATACAGCATTCTTAGAAATAGGGAACAGACAAGACAGCTGTCAGAAGGGTTGAGGGGCTGAGTGGAAAAGGCAATGAAAGGATTGGGGGAGGGGAACAGATGACCAGCGGGAAAGGGGGTGGGGGAGGTAGAAGAGGGTGAAGGGAGGATAAATGGTGATGGAAGGAGACTCAGCTGGGGTGGTGAACACACAATGAAATATACAGATTATATGTTATAGAATTGAACACCTGAAACTGTATATTCTTATTAACTACTGTCATTCCATATTTCAATAAAAAGGAAAAGAGAAATTAAGGTTCTGCATAATTAAGGCTAAATTGGTATGTGTATATATAATGGATAAGAGTAAATGATTAGGCTGAATATATATTGAATTGAATCACTGGAAGAGAATTCTGACTGTTAATCTTTAGTTAAAAACTAAACCTAGATGTGAACTTTGTAAAGGGAGATAAGAATTGCCTTATTTTCCATGTTGTAGGTTTCAAATATACCGTGTGGAATTCCCCCCCCCTTTTTTTTTACACAGAATTATATTTATGCAGAATTTGTATTACCCTGGTATTTTGTTAGAGATTTCTAGTCTTCAACTTCACTATACATTTTCTTTTTTGAAAAATTTATTTATTTATCTTTAGAGGGCAAGGGAAAGAGAGAGGGAGAGAGAAATCTCAATGTGTGGTTGCCTCTCGTGTGTTCCCTGCTGGGAGAAAGAGGGAGAGAGAAATCTCAATGTGTGGTTGCCTCTCGTGTGTTCCCTGCTGGGAACTGGCCTGCAACCCAGGCATGTGCCCTGACTGGGAATCGAACCTCGATCCTTTGGTTCACAGGTTTGTGCTCAATCCACTGAGCCTCACCAGCCAGGACTATACATTTCAATATATTGCTACAATTTAAACTGTGATTGTGTTGGAGTTGATACAAACTGTAATCATTTTGGGATTTGAGTTTATGTACATAACTGCATAAATCTATCAAAACACTGATTTGCTAAATTCACCGAAGTGGACTGGTTTACAGGTATCAAAACATGGTCCTTGGTTTTTGAAAGCATTTGGCACAAATTCAGCCTATATGAATATAGGATAATGTAGATGTAGAACATTGGCTCTTAATTATGATCATCTTCATCTTAATGGGTGCAATATGACATTGACTTTAGAATATGATATTCAGGGCTGTATGCTATATTTTATGTACAGTGGAAATGCAGACAAATACATACTTTCGCAACTTGATATCTTAAATGAGCTGGTCTATAAATTTTGTGTTACAATCAACAATTCCTTTTTAAATAAATGTTAAAATAAAAAGAGGGTCAAAGTTAACCTTCAAAGCATACCACCATGTCATTGAGAATAACATTTTTGCCCCAAAGTTATATTTTTCATTTTAATTTTAATAAGAGGGAGCCCTTGAGGGATCTTGGTCAGAATATAAAAACAGGTCTCTATAGTTTTTGGTCTTTTTGTGTATATAAATTAGGTTTTAGCCATTTGCTTTTTCTCTAAGTGTGATAATATTTTAAGTCTTGCTAAAAATATTCTACTTAAGTTTAAGATGCATATTTTTATTTGGGAGAAAAACCTAAAGTTTTGTGTTTTTGTTTAATTTTAGGTTGCATTTACAACAAGAATTTATCATCCAAATATTAACAGTAATGGCAGCATTTGCCTCGATATTCTAAGATCACAGTGGTCTCCTGCTTTAACTATTTCTAAAGGTAAAATACTTTTAGAGGAATAGTCTTGAATTGCTCTGATTTTCTAGTAGTTAAAGGAGTTTCCATTGTGGGCCTGTTTGTTTGAATCTTTAGTATGCCAACTTTTTGGTAGGAGGTAGGGAAAGAATAATAAGTTATATAATCTTTGCTCTTTTAGCGGTATTGATTGAAGAGGTTTTGTGGGCTGAAGTTAAAATTCAAATTAGGGTATTGAGGCATTATTTGCAAATAATAGCAAATATTAAAAAGCAGAGTTTATTTTTCATTGATTCCTGTAGTATTTTTTCATCTGAAGCTACTTGCACAATCTCATTTGATTATTTATTGTTTTAACTAAAATGGTATACTTAAATTTGAAGGGCACTTTTTTATCTTGAGATTTCCATTGCAGAACATTTTGGGGGTTTTTTTGTTTTGTCTGTCTGTCTGTTTTTCCAATAAAAGGCATTTTGAAAGAAGCCTTTAGTTTTAGCCTTTAAAAAAAACTTTTAGGAAAGTATTATATGGACATAGTAGGTTGTTCTACTTAATGATAGTCCGAAAATGAGAGAATCCTCTTGGAAGTCTATCTAGATTAATTCTGTTCTTCTACTTTTAATGGGGATTTATTGCATTGTCTGTCATCTTAATAAGTTACCCAGTCTCCATGTGAATATCCCAGATGGAAATAGAATATCTCTCTCACTTTTTTGAATGAATCTGGTGCCTTTTATGTCACTTTTACTCCACAGATAAAATCACATATCACAAAACTATTCAATGGGAAGGAAGACTTCCTTCAGTAATTTTCAGTTTCCGGTATTGACTTAGTATTACTTAGGTTCATATGTTTGTACAGTGCATTTGAATCTCTTTAAGGGGTGGTAGGTACAGCATTTCTCAAACTTAAAAACTAGAATCATTTTTAGTGGAGAGAAAAACAATTTGGGTTAATGCTGCCATAATTTTTTGCAAGTATGACATAATTTTAGACCTATTTTTACTGTCTTGGATACATTGCTGTTTTCTTTCAAATTAGGTTCTCTTACCACTGATATCTGGTATTATGAATACCTTAAATACTAGTTTTTCAGTTTTTTATGTGTCCCTTGCCCCTGCACTTGGATGTGAAGTTACATTTTCTGTAGTATATTACATTAATGCTTTTTTACACAACAGGCATTTTAAAATGAATTAGATAGGGTATTGAAAGCTCAGTTAGTAGTAGATCTTGGCGTTGTTTGATTTAGCCAATATTCTTGGGTATATGGCCTCCACCTTATAAATTCAAGGGGACAAAACATAGTTTTGTGAAATCTCCCCTGGGAGTAGGACAGAGACTGGATACCTACCTTCTTAGGCTGATTAGCTAAGAATAAAATGGCATGGATGTTTCCTAAATATTCTTACTCCAGTTATTTTTTCCCCCCTCAAAGTACCAAGAAACTCCAGTGACTTATATTCTAATTCCACTTAATTATTTTTAAAGATAACAAACTAATATGCTATTGTTTGACTATTGGAACTTCTGAGTTGGGCAGTTTTTTAGCTAGTACTAAACTTGATCCCAACAAAGCTCTGTTTTTAGAATTTATTTACCAGGAGCTTGTCTCCTGTGAAGCAAAATATCTGTAAGTTTTTATCTCATTGAGATTAAGATATAAACTAATAAAATATTTTGAGCATTGAGGATTATATAAGTTTTTAATTTCATACTGCTGTGGTCAGAAAATATGCTCATAAAAATTTCAGTCTTGAATTTACCGAGACTTGTTTTATGGCCTAAAATATATCAGGAATGTTCTATGTGCACTTAAAATGTGTATGTTCTGTAGTTTTGGATAAAATGTTCTTAAATTATCTACTTGTTGACATTTCAGGCCATTGTTTTCTTAATGATTTTTTCATCTGGATGATCTGTCCATTGATTTAAATGGGTATAATAGTTTTTAAATACACTTTTCTTTATCCAGTTTCCTGATGATGAGTAACATTTGTTTTCTTGTAGTTCTTTTATCCATTTGTTCACTGCTATGTGATCCAAACCCAGATGACCCCCTAGTGCCAGAGATTGCACGGATCTATAAAACAGACAGAGATAAGTAAGTATGTAGTAGTTTAAGAAAATAATATAAAGCTTTTTTTCTTAGGTTTATACTCTGCTCTTAAGTGGTAATGCCAAGAAGCCTTGATGCTTATTTCTGGTTAGATGATAGAGATTTGTAGGTTTTAGTTTGTGACAGTGAATAGTCCTCTAAAATGTTTTGTTTTTCTAACCTGTTCTACACTTTGTCACTTGAAGTATTAAGCTTTGGGAAGAAAGCAATTCTTCATCCCAATTAAGTTTTTGAAAAAAATATTGGTACTACTGTAAAAATTTCATCTAAATTTCTCAAATATTTGAATTATTTTTATGTACAGCCTCACCATTATAATTTTTGTCTTATCATTAATCCGAAGTATACTTGTTCAATTAGGTACAATAGGTTAGCAAGAGAGTGGACAGAGAAATACGCTATGTTGTAGGGTAAGAGGATCTGCACTCTATGGTGCGCTTATTCATGGTACTGCCAGCACTTGAGTGCTGCATGCTCTAAGGCACTGTATTGTATTAACTAACAAAAGGTAACCAATGTGGCAGTTTTCTGAAAACCGTTCCTTTAACTGCTTGATCTGTTTAGCGTGAAAGCATACCCAGTAGTTATTATTGCTTGAGAGTATTTTTGCATGACATAGCAGTTATTTAGCACTAGTAAGAAATGGAAATTTAGTATCTTTCAAAACTCCAGGGTGTTTAAATTTTAATTTTAAAATTGTTATATTTTAAACTTTATCCAATACTACATGGAATGTGGTAATGTAGTTCAAATTTGCCAAGATAATAATGTAAGGGGGAAACTTTTAATTAAGCCTAAGCATTTAAACTAAATCTTCATTACTGACATGCATGCACTGGTGTCAGCTCTACTTTGTGGCTCCCTGTATGCTAAATGAAACCATCATTTTAAAGTGCTGGCATTTTGAGAGGGTATCCTTAAAGGTAACCATGAATTGTGGAAAGAACTATATTTTAACTTGAGAAAAGTGGTTCAACCCTGTTTAGTTCTTGGTTTGAAATGAAGTTAGCTAATAGTTCATAAAGTTCAAACCATAAATATCTAAAAGATCTTATGTGCCCATATATGTATATTCATTTCTTAGTTATTACATTTTTTTCATTGGTAAGTAAGACTGTGGCATGGGAGAGTGTAAAAGGGAGAGATGATGGTATTTATCAGTATTAGTGATCCTCCTCAGTAGTAAGTAACCTTGCTTGTGTGTGAATTACCTGTTGATCTTTTTAAGTGAAGATGCTTCTAGTAGTACTCCTACAGATTCCCATTCATCAGATCTCAAGAGTGGGGCTCACATACCCACCTACTCTTCAAAACTGTTCTTTTACCATACTCCCCAGTGTCTTCTTAATCTTTCCCCAGTGCCAGTCTCAAAGGCGTTTTCTCTTCTGGTATTACCCAGGGTCAAGTAAAGTCTAGGATTCAGGTAAAATGGTTTAGTTAACAGTTCTGGCTTTGATGGAAATTTCTGTACATGTACAGAATGTATACTGTTCTGGCATAACTCCATGATGAACTGGAAAATAATTTTTTAATGTTAAAATTGATTGGAATAGATACAAATTATAGATTTTCTGAGAACATTAGCTCAGATAAAAGGTCTTTGATTTTTGTTAGCCTTCCCAATGTCAGTGCCACTTTATTTTGTTTGGTAAAATACTACTTGTAGTGGGGGCCATTTCGGGGGGTGGGAGGTATAAGGTTCTCATTTCCCACAATGCTTTGAGTGCAACTATTAATTTTCCCAGTTAGCTTTATTTCAACTAGAACCATTAGTTGACTCCACGACAAGTCTGGAGGTAAAACAAGTTTTTCCCCTTTAAGTATTTTTTATTTTAACATTTAAAATAACATATTCTTTATTTACAGGTACAACAGAATATCTCGGGAATGGACTCAGAAGTATGCCATGTGATGCTACCTTAAAGTCAGAATAACCTGCATTATAGCTGGAATAAACTTTAAATTACTGTTCCTTTTTTGATTTTCTTATCCGGCTGCTCCCCTATCAGACCTCATCTTTTTTAATTTTATTTTTTGTTTACCTCCCTCCATTCATTCACATGCTCATCTGAGAAGACTTAAGTTCTTCCAGCTTTGGACAATAACTGCTTTTAGAAACTGTAAAGTAGTTACAAGAGAACAGTTGCCCAAGATTCAGAATTTTTTAAAAAATGGAGCATGTGTATTATGTGGCCAATGTCTTCACTCTAACTTGGTTATGAGACTAAACCATTCCTCACTGCTCTAACATGCTGAAGAAATCATCCGAGGGGGAGGGAGATGGATGCTCAGTTGTCGCCTCAAAGGAAGCAGCATTGTTGTAGCAGCATCCATTCTTGTATAAGCCTTCCACTGTTAGAGATCTGAGGTTACATGATATACTTTATGCTCATAACTGATGTGGCTGGAGAATTGGTATTGAATTTATAGCATCAGCAGAACAGAAAATGTGATGTATTTTATGCATGTCAATAAAGGAATGACCTGTTCTTGTTCTACAGAGAATGGAAATTGGAAGTCAAACACCCTTTGTATTCCAAAATAGGGTCTCAAACATTTTGTAATTTTCATTTAAATTGTTAGGAGGCTTGGAGCTATTAGTTAATCTATCTTCCAATACACTGTTTAATATAGCACTGAATAAATGATGCAAGTTGTCAATGGATGAGTGATCAACTAATAGCTCTGCTAGTAATTGATTTATTTTTCTTCAATAAAGTTGCATAAACCAATGAGTTAGCCGCCTGGATTAATCAGTATGGGAAACAATCTTTTGTAAATGCAAAACTGTTTTTGTATATACTGTTGGGATTTCCCTCATTGTTCGACATCAAATGATGTAAAGTTCAAAAGAGTGAATATTTTACCATGTTCAGTTAAAAGTGCACAGTCTGTTACAGGTTGACACATTGATTGACCTGATTTATGCAGAATTAATAAGCTATTTGGGTAGTGTAGCTTTAGTATGCTGCACATGATACCGGCAACCCTGGAGTTCATAGATGGACTTGGGACCCAGCAGTTTTGGACATGTATATGGAGTTTAGGAAATTTATTTTCCAGGTGCAACCCCCATCGAACTAAATTTTTTTTTATCTTGTACACTTGACAGCTAAAAAACCATAACATGGGAGTAATAATGGGTTTAAATTTACAAAATAAAGTACTGTTTTGGTGTGGGAGTTGTCATGAGGCTGTGTTAAGTAACTTTTAACTATGTGGGATATTGAGTATCCATTGAAATGGATTTGTTCAGCCATTTACATTAATGAGCATTTAAATGCAACAGATATCATTTCAGGTGACTTAACATGAATGAATAAAAGTCAATGCTATTGGATAATTTTTTGTTTGACAAGTGCTATGTGTGCCACTAATTTCTGTAGTAACAAGGGCATTATCATTTCTTCACCCTTCCTAATTCTCACCATATAGTTTTACTTTTTTCCTAGTTATTTTGATTTGTCCATTGCTTTCTTAAAATCCTGTATTCAATTTGTAGCACGTCTGTGACTTTTCTCCACTTCCACATTTTTGCACTGCTTTACCTTATGTGCAATCTTACTCCTTGTCTGCACAGATGTGGAAAGCTAGATATAAAATAAATGTTAAAGCTTGATTTTTATAAACATTTTAATATGTAGTTTGGACATGATTTATTGACTAAGGTTCTCTAAACTGGAAGTGAAATGCATGCCTTCCAAAATGTTCTGGCTTTGTTAATTCTGTAATAAGCATTGAGAAATAATCCAACTATACAATTTTTCAATGAGTGAGGGGTTTTGTTTTTTGTTTTTCCACTTTTTTGCTTTTAAATACTTGAGTAGATGTCATAACTATTGAAACTTTCGGATTCAGATTACAAGTGATAAATTAGTAACAAACTGCTCTCCAAGCTACTAAGACATACTGTTGTTCTTTGGCTCTAATCAAAATCTGAGAATCATAAAAATAATAGCTTTTAGTAGGCATATCAAGTATCAATAAAACAGCTTCTGGGTTGCTAATTAGCTTTCAAATTGACCTTTTTAGCCATAGGTCTTAAGTATTTATAGAGATTACTTTAAACTATTGGTGGTTTAAAGATGTGTCCAGTTCTCTGTATCTGACGATGCTTTCTACAACATTTTTCTTTCAGTTCTAAGGGAATAAGCCATAAAGGCTTCTCCAGGTTTAAGGGAATAGTAAAAAAGTACCTGGAAAACCAACATTTTAGAATGTATGGACACTGGACTTCATCTCCAATGAATCCGTCGAAAGAATCCAAGAATTTGCCCTCTTTTTCCCCATATACATTACTAGTGCCATGTGTAGGGCTGTAGTGCATATTAGCAGATTTAAAATTGATTTTGGTTCTTGGTAAATATTTTCTGTATCTTAATGCACAAACTCAAATACTTAGTTTCTATTAATCTATGAGAGTTACAGTCCAGTTGACTTACTAATGGTAAATCATGTAAGTGACTCATTTTTTTTGTTCCTGGGCAAGTTTGCAATGTGATAATCAGATTTAAAGACAAAAAAAACACTAGTTTGCTTTCTTGTGTGAGTACTCACTTTTTTTTTTAAAGTATGAACCACAGTTAACTAGTGGTCTCAGGGGTAGTGAACACTCACTTTTTTTTAATGGCTTAGTTGAAATACGCTTCAGATACTGATTATGCTGTGTTAGTGATTTGGGGGGTGACTCAAATTAGCCATGTTTTGTATTGGCATAACAAAACTGTTAATGATTGTGATTATACTTTTAAGTGAATGTCTTCTATTTTATGAGGAACCCAGTGCAAGTCACTAAATGTCTAGTAACATCTGCATAACACTTGTAATAGCTAAGGTTGAGCTTAAAGGAATTGTTACCATTAAAGCCTGTTTAAAGTCACACTGGTCTTACTCAGTAATTCCAGCTAATGTGAAATCTACACTTTAATATTTGTAAACGCTATTTTGAATTTAGGAGTTAAAACTATAAAGAATTCAGGACAGTGGTTCTCAGAAGTGGTCTCAAGACCAGCAATATTAGTATCATTTGGGAAGTTTCAGTGGAAAGTATCAGGCCCCACAGCAGAACTACTACTGATTCAGAAACGGTGTGGCACCCAGTAACATACATGTCTTTAAGTCAACTAAATTCTACTTCCCCTTGGTAACACTAATCCATGAACCCTCAAGTTATTTTTACAAGTCTCCCTCTTTCATAGCTATAAGAACTTGAGTTAATTGTATGCTCAAGTACTACATTTGTTTATAATTAACAAGTATGTAGTTCTTTGATAAATAGGTTGATTTACACATTTAAGATAACATCCTACAATTAACTGAGTAATAGCTGGACACCATGACATTCAAATTCGTGTCTTACAATTTTTTTTTTTTAAGCTATATGTAATTCAATGTCCAGGTAGTATTTAAAGAGTAACTAGGTACAAAAGTCTGGTAAATGTAGTTTAGCTGAATAAGGATTTGAACCCTAGTCTCATTCTCTGGTCTTTCTCAATTCTTGTATTTGTTTTGTAAAGATGTTACGTATGGTTGGAGTGTTTGCACTGTTACTGAAATTAATATTAAATACAGCCTAAGGCAGCTAATAAAACCTTTTCAGCCTGAATAATGGGGAAAGTAAATGGTAAAGATGTTTGGAAACAGGATTTTAAAGAATGACACATCCCTCCCCCCACCCCATACCCCCAAAAGAAGTTAGGAAGAAACTTAGATCAAAACTAAAATTTCCTAGAAAGTGGGGAGATAGAAGTTAGCTGAATATTTTCTTTAGGGCCCTAGTAATTACCACTTGTGTTCTTTTCTGCTACTCTGTACTACCAGCTCTGTTCTTCTTCCCTCATTTTGAATTGTTTTATAATTAACTCCAGTATAGTGTTTTCTCCAACTTGTACACTTTCTGGATGGATTTTTAAATTTGAGCCCTCTTTAACTTTTTTTCTGTATCATAGAAAATAGTTTTATGAATTAACATTTTCAGTTTCACATATCAAGTTTAAATGAGGCCAAACAATGTGAGGGCTTTTATGCTCTAGTTACTTAAGAACATTGAACAGTCATTTCCTGACCTCCCAGCCATCCTGAACTGTGTAGTTTCCTATTCATTATCTACCAGGCTACCTAAAAGGGTAGCTTTTAAGATGTCTTAAAATTGTCTTGATTTCTACACACAGACATGATGTACACATGTCCTTGGCCTCAGTAAATGTAGGCATTCAGTTGCACTGTCCTGAAACCTAGGCATCAAATCTTGATTTCTCACTCCACTTTCAAGTTAAATAGTAATTTCATGGGTTCTTTTAAACTTGATTCATAGTCTACTGGTCACTGTATACACTGTTGCCACAATGGTCTAAGGCTCCATCGTCTCTTGGATTATCGTAATATCTTCCCGAGGGATTTCTCAGCTTTTTACTTGGCAGCAATCTGTCCCACACAACACCCAGCATAATTCTTTTAAACCATGTCATACCATGTCATCCCTTGGCTCCAAACCTAATGGTTTCCCATCTCATTCAGAGTAATAGCCAAAATGCTAAACAATTCACAGGCTTGTCCCTCCGCCTCTACACTTCATCTCTGATCACTCTTGTTTTACATCCATGCCCCAACTGAGCTAGGTTCACACAGGCCTCTGCTGAAACTTACAGTGTTTGCCGTTGTTCTTGCCTTGATTAAAATGATCTTTCCTCGGGTGCCGTATAACTACCTCTTTCCTAATTGCTAGATTTCTACTCAAATGTCAGGAGTGATTTTTGACTATTCTGTGTAACCACACCACCATTATAGCCTGCACAATGGCATATTCGGTATTAGCCACCTTACACATAGTAGTACTTTTCCTCCTCAGCACCACCCCAGAATGTAAGTTCTGTAAGTAGAGATGGAATTTCATCTCTGTTCTGCTATATCCCTCTACCTAGACGACTGCCTGACACATAGTTACAGTGGTCACATACTCAGTAATGACTATGAGCTAGATGGTAGACTTTCCCAAACGTATTTCTTGCAACTGCAGTATACAACAGAAAAATACTAAGTGGGACATTCTTTGCTCTCTGACTACTATAAGTAAAATACTATTATGGTGAGTGGATGGACATTTCTGTTTCTATTAGTATGCATGATTACCCTGACCAACTCTCCTGTGAAACATGCTAGGGAAACTTTTCAAAATTTGTCAATAATAGGAGTACTGTCAAGCCAAAACCAAATGGAAACCAGGAGCCCAAAGAGGAAACAATGTAACAATAAGCAATCTTTCATCTTGAAAATGCTAAAAACCTGAGTCATATTTTACTTTTTGTGATCCTTGTAAAGCCCAGAATGCATCCAAAGAGTGGTATCAAAAAGGAGAAACCCATACCTAATACATACAATGCAGAGTCTGCAATGCTTTGAACCTTATTGGCAGGGGAATATTTAACTACCAGAATTTGTAATAATAATTTGGACTTTGTGAAGATTTGCAGCCCTAAAACACTACATAGGTGGTCCCAGAAAGCTGAAACAAGATTTAACTTTTGAAGTAGTTCCAAGTCCGAGCAACCAGGAGCAAGTAGAGGCAAATACTCTGTAGAAACTCGCAGTTGGGGTTGGAGAAACAACAAGGGAGTGTAGCACAATGAGTAGTAGCCATCTGTGCGCAGTATTTAGACTAAAAATATCAGGTCATCCAAATTGGAAAGAAAGAAGTAAAACTGTATTCACAGATGACATGATATAGAAAATCCTAAAG